GCCACGAGCCTCTCATCAGGCCGTGTCGCTGCACCGGGGACGTGTCCGCCGTGCACCACGACTGTCTGCGCAGATGGCTCATTGAGGTATGTACAGTCGGGGAAACTGACGGTGTTTAAGGAAAAATCTACAATCGTTTGAACATTTTCAAATAAATAAAAAAAAATTGAAAAAAAAACATCTTTCTCCTTATCCTACTCCCGTAGGGTCGGCGCAACAGGTTTTTGCCCATCAAAAACCTACTTTTGGATTCGGCACTATTTTAGCGGCCAGTCGCCAACCCTACTTGAGATTAAAAAAATAATCAATACAACGCAGCTTGTAAATATGTATGTACGAAAAGTCGGTAATGTTCTTTTTATAGTTATCCCTTGTATGCCCCCACTAAAATCTTATTAGCTATTTGTAGAAAGCGGAGTTTGTTTCGTTGCAATGAATAAGATAATTTCCAGAAGTGGAAAACTGCGGATTTCCGCGACTGTACACAATACAGCGACAAACATTAAATTTCATGCGCGGTGCACACTTCGCCAGTACAGTTGGACTGTCGCACAGGCCATGGATGCTGGCGCCAGATAGTGTTCACACTATGCTAGTTTAATGACTGTCTATTGAGCGCTACTGTCAAACTGTCTTGGCCAAGTGTGAACCGGGTATATTAGATACTTTTTTAAATTACGCGCTGACACAAACTGATTTTAAATTGACTTTGTCGAAATTTTGTTGCAATCGGGAATATAGATGACTTTTTCAAATTCCGCTTTGACCTGATAATCCTAAATATCTCTCAAATGTTTGTTTCCAGAGTGCTACCACACCGGACGGCTTGAAGTGCAAAGTTTGCAACACGCCGTACATCGTGCAAAAAACAAACAGGTCGGTAAAAACATAATTAAATTCACATTTACAGACACAAATACTTCATACTAATGTTATAAATGCGAAAGTTTAGATGGATGTTTGTTAGAGTTTGTAGCCTAAACTGCTGAACGGATCTCGATGAAATTTAGTACAGATATAGAGGATAGCATGGAAGAACACTTAGGCTACTCACTTTTGTGTTTTTTTAATTCCATGCGGACGGAGTCGCGGGCTAAAGCTGGTATTAAATAATACATACTCTATTTACGCAACTTGTAACTTAATTGAAATTATTGTGCTAATGTTGAAGTTTTTTTAAGTAGCGAAGCAATAATCAACGATGCGTTACTTAAATGCATTAAAATTGTTTTGTTTTTATTACTTTAATTCCAACTATTACCCAGAAAAATCTAATAAAATATCGACCAACAACTTAAGAAGTTCTCGCTAGACAGTTGGATTAAGGGACGGTTCAAAAGGCGGTTATTTTAGAAACCGCACGTATTGTAAGGAGGTTCCTGTCTCTGCCCTGACCACTGGTTGCTTGAGTCATCGGATTCCGCAGCCGGTGTTCCTATATTTCTCCCATAATATGTTTTATATTTATACCAGCTGTTCCCATGCGGCTTCATCCGAATTAAAAAAAAATATTTTATTGTTTACATTTGTCAAATTCGCAATTGCAAATGTCAAAATTACCGTTACCATAAAAACCTTGCTTCCTTAATGTTGGCACCTTGTAGTTTATTGCCTCTTTCCCACATGATGGTTCTTTCCAATTTATTTAGCTTCTAAGTTTTATGGCATGAGAATATATAGCCTAAAGCGTGTCGTAAATGTAGGGCTTTTTATTAAAGAAAGAATTATTCAAAAATATGCTGTAATTGCTGACATCCTACGCCACAAAGATGTGTCTGTTTACGCTTCATTATATTAGTATAGGCTAGCTGTTCCCGCGCGACTTCATCCGCATGAAATTATGAAAGTTTTATTTTATTGTTTACATTTGTCAAATTACCATTATAAATGTCAAAGTGACATGACATGATGACAACCTTGCTTCCTTGATGTTGGTAGCAAGCAACTTATGGTCTCTTTCCACATTAGGATTTTTATCCAAAATATTTACCCCCTAAGTTTAATGGCGTTTAAATATAAAACCTAAAGCGTGAAGCAAGTGTATGGCTTTTTATTAAACAAAGAATTATTCAAAAATATGTTGTAATTGCTGACATCTTAGGCAACAAAGTTGTGTGTGTTTACGCTTTATTATATTAGTATAGATAAATAATGTAAAATGTATTATGTAGTAAATAAACGAATAAAGATATATGGCGATAATAATAATGGGCATGTTATGCGACGAGACGATGGGGACACAAACCAGGAAGTGTTTAGAATGAATGTGAATGGCTACAAAGGTAGAGGAAGACCTAAGAAAGTATGGATGGATTGTGTGAAAGAGGATATGATTTAAGGGATGGTTTCATGGTGGCTGATAGAGATGTAAGGGCAAGTGGATGCTGGTGATAATAAAAGAATGTTGTCAGAGTGGAGTGGGAGCGCGGGTTCACGTGCGCGCACTGGCTGCGCACGGCGCTGGCGGTGGCGGGCGTGTGCGGCGCGGGCGCGGCCGCCTGGCTGCTGGTGCAGCTGTTCCCCTCGCCCGTGGTGCGCGTGCTCTGCGCCGGCGCCGCGCTGCTCGTCTGCTACGTCGCCATCAGGTAATATACACGACACACACCACAAACGTCAAAAATTGACATCATCATGACGCATTTTATTGATTTATGAGCTGTTCCCGTGCGGCTTCATCCGCCGGAAATACCACGACCACACAGAAGCCAGGTAGTGAAGTGGAAGCGATTCCGAGTTTCGTTGGATGGGTAAAGTGAGGCCCAGCTTTAGTCCCTTTTCCTTTCCACCCTTTTTCTAATACGAAAAGAATGGGAGGAAATGTGGATTTTATGGTGCAGGAGACGCATAGGAAGCGGAAATATAGTCTTTATGTGCGTCTCCTCCTCGATCAAGGGTAGCAACGCATCCACAATTGCGAATGCTATGTACAGCGGTTGCTTCGCCATTTTAGCGGATTTAGGTGGGCGCTCGTTCACAAATTACAACGAATGTCATAACCATTCGATAACAATTACCATTACCATGGTAATCATGCTGCCTTAATTTTCTCAGCTTGTAGTTTTTGTCAATTTCTCGCATAACGGTTTTTCTTATTTATGTACTACCTAAGTTTAATATCGTGAAAATATATATCCTAAAGCGTGTCATAAGTGTAGGGCCTTTTATTAAAGAATTGTTCAAAAATATGCTGATATCTTAGGCAACAAAGTGTGTGTTTACGCTTTATTATATTAGTATAGATTATAGATTTTAAAATTCAATTATTTCGTTTTTTTCAGGTTTCTAAGCATGAACACAGTGATAGCGTACCAACGAGCCAAAGTATCCTCCCTCAGGATAATAACAGAACCGCTCGCTGAGTCTCAAGTTAACGACCAAACTCAACTCTGCACCATCAGTAAAACTGTTACAGTCGAAATAGCCTCTAAAGCGGTACTCGAACAAGCGCTTAAAGGAGACGTAAAAAATTAAAATAACGATAGCAGTGATATTTGTGAAGTGTACAAGTGCGATGAAAATTAAACCGAGTGAATATCGAAATAACGAATGAACTCTGCCTAACATATCAGGCTTACGGCCTATAACTTAAAAAACGTTATTTTCGTTATAACCGTTATTATCCTTAAAACGTTTAACGTTATAACTGTGAAACCGATTAAGGTTATAACTGTGAAACCGTTTAACGTTATAACTGTGACACCGTTTAACGTTATAACTGTTAAAACGCTTAACGTTATAACGTATAAGCTGCCAGTGTTATGGCGATGTATTAAGATGAAAAATTCGAAAAAAAGAACACTGAATGTTGCCAAACAAATTAATTACGTGTTTAGTACAAAAGTGATCTTTTGTGATGAATGTGGTCTATTATATTGTATTTATTAATCTGTTAACCATAGATATATAATCTATAGATATGTTACCCAACGCCCAGAAATGAGACAAAAAGACTCCTTTCGATATTATTGGGGCAATTTTACACAGTTTTTTATATTGTAATATGGCAAACGAGTTACGGTCAGAATTCGCTGAAATAACGAACTATTGCTCATAGACATATGCAGTTACAAATCCCTTGCCTTTATTAAATCGGCAAAAGAAGGGACGCACAGAAAAAGGATATTTCCCCGTAATTGTAATTTACAATATAAAATGACGTTTGTAAAATCAGTCAGTTGTCAAATTTTACGACACACTCCATCAATAAATTATATATCTATGGAATGCTATAGAAAGTTCTGATTAGATTTTAGATATCTAAATCATAATTTAAGTATATTTTATTTTGTCAAAATTAAGCCGTAAAATTGTATAATACATATATTTAACGTTTCAACTAATTTTGGAAAGTGGAAATATTTATGGTATTGAAGAAAAAGGTTTTAAAAAAAAAATTATTGGTATATTTTTATAAGTTTGTGAAGGCTATGATTTATATGTAAGATTTTTTAGTTTATTAGATTTTATTGAGCAATGATAGTTTTGAGATTTCGATAGCTCCTATGTAAAATACCGCAACCTTGTTTTTTTTTAAAATAATTTGTTAAATACTTGTTTCTGTATAAAACGCCAAAGTTCTGTAAGTTTTCTTTTTCTTTAGTTTCATGTTTGTCATAATCATAATAATCCTTAATAGCTAGTTACGTAAGAGTCCATTTTTCATATAAATTCTATGACCAATACAAGTGGGTCAGTGACCTCTATATTTGCTTGATTGGTTTTGCATAATTCTGAAAAGCGACAAAATACTTCTTTAATTAGTCCGAGTTTAAGACGACTACCGTCAGAGCTAAGATGGCAATAATCAAATGGGCGCAAAATATACCGGTTCATAGCCTATCCTGTGTGAATAGAGGTCTGTTGTTCTGCCAATCCAAGAAAACAAATGTTTAATATTCCTTTTATAGTTCAAAAAACAGATTTTTACACAGGTTTTTTGATTAGAATATTACCAAAAATAAGAGTATAAAATTATCAAATCTGAACTATCAATGCCAATAAAATCTGATTATAAACAAAAAAATAATTTAATATTGAGATATATTGAAGACTTGTATTTTAAATCTCAATTTTTATGTAGATGCGTAATTTGGAACGTAGATGCGTAGTTTCTAGTGACATTTCAAATTCTTTAGTGACGCGTTTCTGTATACGTAAAAATGTAGATAATAAAAAGTAAAGCATTACGAGTGTTGTGATTAACTTTGATTTTAAAAATATTGTTATGTAGAATAATCTAATAAAGGTAACCCCGTGATGGGTTGTGGCATTTCCTTATTTCGTTTTTTTTTTATTTCACGCTGTCATAGATAATAAAATTTTGTGCTGGTAACATTATCGTGAAATGAGTGACACATTATAGTATTACAATTATTGTCTTTTGAAGTTATTTTTTGCACTTATTAATTAAACACTGTCATTTAAATTATTTTTTGAGGTTATCACATTTCAATTACAAGAATTTGAGATTTTCAGATACTAAACTAGTATATAACTTTGCAAAACACTTTCATATGCATATTTTAATGTAATATTAGGGCCTGTCCCAACAAATTGTAAATTGATAACAATCGACGTGTAAAATATGTGATGGAAATATCGGATTTTGTTCCCTTATCTGACAGTGACAACATTTTTAAATTTGAGCCTCTATCAGCCAGTGGTGGGACAGGTCCAAAGTATTTTGTGGCAATTTTTCTTAAAAAAAATAAATTGTTTGATTAAAGTTTTAACACGTATTTAATATTTATGAATTAAGTCATCGATACATTTAAATAGAATATGACGTTGACATAAAATTGTGCCAAAGAAATCAAAATTAAAAATCTTACATTTGACATAAAAGGTTTGAAAATCATCGCAAAAGTTCTCTTTTCTGTCCCTGGTTTATCTTAAGGTAAGTCTTTGAAATATTTTTAAATTACGTTTATTACCAAATATACGTATGGTTTGGATCGTAACCATTGTCATTTCTATAAAGATGTTACCATTAAAAAATAAAAAGAAACATTGGCCAGTGTTGCAAGCCCTACTATCAACCAAAAAAAAATATTCCTTGCACCAGCAAAACTGCGACTTGTACACATGGTTTTTAGCAGCGAAATTATTATAAAATCTGATTATAAACAAAAAAAAATATTTAATATTGAGATATATTGAATACTTGTATTTTAAATGTCAATTTTTAGTAGATTCGTGTTTGTACAGCCATATAGTGTATCGATGATGAGGTAGTTTTTTTTCTTTTTAAAATAATAATTAAAAGTTGCTCATATAACATTTAGAGCATAGTCTTCACTCATTGTAAAGTAGATGAAGAATCTTTGAAAATATCTACAAAAATCCCAGAAAAAAAATAAATGTCATAGTTGTAAAAAAAAATATTTTTCTACACGAAACGCCATACTACAAAAATAGATACAATTAATGAATTAATAGATTTCATGTAATTATTTTTCTATAGATTGTTTAAATTAGAAATTAGAGCAAAGTAGTTATTTAAAATATCCTTATCTGTTAAATTACATAAGACATTTTAGTATCGGCAAGCATTTTTCTGCAAGGCAATGAGCTAGATTAGATGTTAAAAAAAAATAAAAAAAATTGTGCAGACGAATTGAGTACCTCCTTTTGGGAAGTTGGTTAAAAAATAGACAATTTTCACAAATACAATTTAATAGAATAATTCGTATTCTAGTTTGAAAATAATCATTACTTTTAGTATATTTCCCCATGTATATTGCTTTTCAAGTCAAATCTGCATTTATTACACATTTTGCGTTCTAAATAAGATAACTTACTAAAAACAAGAAATCGAAAAAAAGGGCAATAGATTTCATCAATAAAAAAAGTTTTGTATTAGTGTTAATTTTAATCTATTAAAAAATAATAAAAAAACGAGAAGTTTTTCATTCCTTTACTAGTATATAATTACATTAATTCAGTCTTCAAAATATTTTCTTAAAGTTATTAGAAAGTGTAAAATCTTTTAGCTCATGTAAATAACCGCAGATTTATTTTGTAAATCTTGATCGTAATTGTTGATGAATAAAATAAAATACAATTATTTACTGTTTTATTTCATGTCCTTTTTTTCTTTCGATTTATTTGTTTGAAAAAATTCTTGTATAGACAAAGAATAAAATGTTCTTTGCTGTTGAACACTAAGGTGTCGAAAAACATAGGAAACTGTCATAAAAGTAGTAGTACTTGTCTTCAAGAAGTGATATTTTTATTTATCTAATTTTATGAAATAAATGTTTCTCACGATATAATAAAAATTGGAATGTCTGATTGTAATATTAAAAGAAAAAAATCAGTGTTCGGGAAGATGATGTATTTGCGTTGCTGATGACGAAAATCGCATTTAAAAATGTTTGTCTCTCTGTCCGCAAGCCGCGTTTGTTTCCGGTAATCTCCGAAACCACTAGGCAGATTTTACGGGACTTTCACTGGAGGGTTTTTTACGGGACTTTCTCTGGAGGGTAGCTGATATGGATAGTCATATTATAGGCTAGTTTTTTTAAATACCGCGCTGTCAAAATGGCGTAACGGGTTGTCCAAATTTGTTCTAACGATATTTGCCGGCGACAACTCGTACACAATAAAATGAAATTCAGATTTTTAAATTTGAAATTAAAATAACAATTGTTTTCTCATAACAAATAATCTGTAGCATTTAAAAATATTAGTTATTTAAAATAACCTTAACTATGATGTCCCGAAAAGACGCGCCAGAAACGAGCAAATTACGTCGCAAGTGATGACGTAGGCTGAAGACGCATCGATTTTCTGCATTTGGCAAAATGCCCATAAGGTCAAATTAACTTGTTGAGATACTTTTTAATATGTAAACATGAGAAATTTGTTTTGCACTAAATTGCTACTTTGTTAGTTATCTATTCCAGAGGGAAACACAAGTTACTTCCCTTTTAGTTAGAAAAATAAAAACGTGCATTTTTGGATTCAAAGATTCCAACAACCTTGAAGTCGAAATTAACTTTAATTTACGTTACTAAGAGCTCGTTGCAGAAGGAATACATTAATTTAAATTAATTTTAAAACGGAATATCTACGTTTATAAATATTCAAAAGTGCTAAAAGAAATTGTTATTTAAATTTTTACAGACTTATAATAAAACAAAAACTTGGCAACAAAAAAATATCCTCTACCTTACAGATGCTGAGCTCGAGTACTTCTACTTACAATTTAACTAGACAAAATACAAACTACCATTTTCACGATCCGTCGGTGATAAGCAAAATACACTAAAAACAAAACATTATCAAAAAACAATACACTAACAAGTAACGAAATAATTCCTTGAAAATAATGAACCTCCCTTATTGTAACTGTTATGTATATATTGTATAATTATTATTACTTTGAAGTCGGTGTACTTCTTTTTGGAAGTCGTTCAAAAATTAGCAACTACCTTGCAATCATAAATGCGAAAGTTAAGATGGATGTTTGTTAGAGTTTGTAGCCTAAACTGCTGAACGGATCTCGATGAAATTTGGCATAGATGTAGAATATAGTCTGGAAGAACACATAGACTACTTACGAAGTTTTTTTTTAATTAAACGCAGACGGAGTCGCTGACGAAAGCTGTTAATAATATACTCAAAGGCTAACGATCATAAAATTGGCGATCGTTATTGATTAAAGCCGCTAGAGGGCAGTCGTTGGTGGAGAGCCAACAGAAAATCAATAACTGCACAAAACTGAAGTCCGCAGACAAAAGAACGATAACATAACATAACATAACGAACTACTTATTTCTTTGAATTAAAATTTTATCAGATCCAAACAACATTAGAAAGTTATTAACTTTCGATTTAGTTACTAATTAAACTTTTATAAACATATATATAATCGTCTCGCTCATATATAGAAATGATTAGCTTTCGCCCACGACTACGTCCGCATAGAATTAAAAAAGAATTAGTGGCCAATATGTTCATCCAGACTATCCTCTACATCTACACCAAATTTAATCATAATCCTTTGAGACGTTTAGGCTACAAACTCCAACAAACATCCATCTAAGATAGAGATAAAAATATGTTGTTGATTTACGAGTGTTTAGGAAATAGTTGCCGATTAAGAGAAATCATAGAATGAAGACAATAGACAAGTTAACAAGCTTATTTATTGTCTGTGGTCAGTTGATAACTGATAACCCTGACCGCTAGCCTGAGTCTATTTGTGAACTCCTTTACTTGCGTGCTAGGCCAGCTATAGCCGCTAAGTATTTTATAGTCGAGGAACTTAATTTCCTATCCGGTTACATATTTCACACACAGTAATGTCTAAAACTTGTAATAGCGCATACAAATGTTAAAACGGTAATTCCATATAATTGGGAAGCGAAATTAATTCTTTAATCATATATTACATACTAGCTCTCGCCCGCGACTTCAGCATATAAATTAAAAAATCTGTAATATTCCTCCATACATCAGCTATCTTCCAGTCTTGTCAACATCCAGTTACGTAGATTACTGGGAACAAACAACAGACAGAAACATTAAAAATTGGTTTTTCGTTATAAGTGCATGTTCATGAATTTTTTTTTTATTAGACGTATATATATTAATTATAAAACTAGTGTTATTTAAACCTTATCTATTTATTCAATGTTTTTATGTACTAGAATATTTGAAAGTGTGAATATACTTGAAAGTCACCAATTTTAATATCATACTTCATACTAATATGAATGGATGAATGTTTGTTAGAGTTTGTAGCCTAAACTGCTGAACGGATTTCGATGAAATTTGGTATATATGTAGAGGATAGTCTGGAAGAACACATAGGCTACTCACTTTTGTTTTTTTTTTTTAATTCCACAGCAACAGCACAAAAAATTAAAATAACCTTTTAGTTATAATGAAATTGTACACTTACGTACTTTCTAAACTAGTTTATCTTCTTAATTTGTGTTTAATTTAAATTTATCGTCAGTTCTATTTAGGCGAGACTGAAACCGCGTTACAGAAATTTCCGCTGAAAATTCACTTCTATAAATAGAAATGACGTACAAAAGTTCAAAGGCTCGGTTCACCTTAATTGTTTCACGAATAAATAGGAAGCTTTTAGTAGACACTAGAACAATAAATAAATTCGCCCAAACGACACATAGACAAGTGAATTAATAACGTTAAAAAAGTTATGGCTGGAAAATATGAAATTGGATATTTCTGAGATATCTACACTATACTTATTATAATAAAGTATAAACACACTTCTTTGTTGCCTAAGATGTCAGCAATTACAGCATATTTTTTTAATAATTCTTTTTTTAATAAAAAGCCCTACACTTATGTCACGCTTTAGGTTATATATTTTCACGCCATTAAACTTAGGAGGTAAATATTTTGGATAAAAACCTTAATGTGGGAAAGAGACCATAAGTTGCTGCCAACATCAAGGAAGCAAGATTGCCAAGTTTTGTCATGTCCTGTCATTTTGACATTTGCAATTGACAATTTGACACATGTAAACAAAAAAATAATTTTATGCTGATGACAACGCATCGGAACAGCTAGTAACAGAGATATCAAAATTGTTAATTTCGAAAGTTATACTGTTATGAGCATACGCACTAAAAATATAGACACAAGAGAAAAATCCAATTAAATTTTCACCTACATATTCAGACAAATAAACGAACAGTTAGACGTCTAAATATGATACTCAAAATACTGCAATGCGCCAAAAATAATCGATTTCGCAACACTAATATTCATCGCTTCATTCAGTTTAGGAACTTTTATGTATGAATCCAACTCTCTAACCTATGCTGTGCTTTTTAATAGCAGTTACTCAGAGTCATTCATCATGTATAAACTGCCCCTTAGTGTGCACTCATGTCTGTAATCCAATGTGACGCAGATAAGCTTTTCATAAACTTTAATTTTTACAGACTGTCGCTTATTGTCAACCATGCTATGGAGAAATTAACTAAAACCAAATATCTAATCATGAATACAAAATTATTTACAAAACACACCAACAATCTATACTATTATAATAAAGCGTAAACACACACTTCTTTGTTGCCTAAGATGTCAGCAATAACAGCAATTTTTGAATAATTCTTCTTTTTAATAAAAAGCCTTTACTATAAAGCACTTACTTCACGCTTTAAGCTATATGCATGTTTTCATAATAATAACATCAAGGAAGCAAGATTACCATAGTAAGGTAATTGGTATTTTGACATTTGCAATTGAGAATTTGATAAATGTAAACAATAAAATAAAATTTTATAATTTTGTGGATGAAGCCGCATGGGAATAGTTAGTTTTGAATAAAGAAACATTATAAATAGAGAAAATAATTTTTAAGCTCTTGTCGTTTGCTATTTACTGTTCATAAATCCTCTTTAATTCTTCTTTCATTATTTTTATTTACTCCAAGTCGATCACAATGTACTAATTTCTTACTCATATTATAAATGCGAAAGTTTAGATGGATAGATGTTTGTTAGAGTTTGTAGCCTAAACAGGTGAACGTATCCCGATGAAGACATAGATGAGAATAGTCTGGAAGATCACATAAGCTACTTACTATTGTTTTTTTATTAGATGCGGACGGCGTATCTGTCGAAAACTAGTCTGAAATAAGAGAAATAAACATTAAAGGTATCCCTAAGTGACTAATTAACTAACTTACAGCAGCCATTTACGTTCAATCGAAACACTATCGATGTAATCTTTTTAAATAATACTTTACATTGAATAAACAAAAATCTGTTTGACAAAATGGATGCTTTTATTGCGACCCGTACCCATCCCCTCCGTAATCCTCCCTGCAAGCCCGCTCTATTTCAACCAACGCTTTCCACCCACGTAAGTACATTAAAATATGCAAAAGACCATAAAATTAAATGTTCATTTAAGATTTTAAAACATAAAAATCTTGTATATTTTTAAGATTTACTACTTTATTATTCATCTGAGAATAAAAAAAATTTAAATCTGTTTTAACGCGGTTGTTTAAAATGAAATCGAAATATTACATTTCACGAAACGAAACGAAGAAAATTGAATCAACGTGTTGATATACTACGATGCATCTTTTCTAGTTATTCCTTAATTAGTGTTAAGAAGTGGATGGCTACAAAGGAAGAGGAAGACCGAAGAAACTATGGATGGATTGTGTGAAAGAGGATATGCTTAAGAAAGCAGTGGATTCAGATATGACGGCTGATAGAGATGTATGCCGACCTTCCGTAAGGGATAAGGGCAAGTGGATGATGATGATGAACAAAATACATAACTCGCTTCATCTATCAAATTAATTAAATAAAACGTTTGTCTTTAACTGTCCTATTTATATCAATATTATTATTTTACAGAGAAAAAATTTAATTTCTTGGATTTTTGTATATATTACAATAACTCAAAAGCTAGGCCATTTCAAAAAATTCTTGGACCATTGAAAAGCTACGTAACCACTTAGTATTATAGGCTATATTTTTAATTTTAAATCCGGACAAAATCGTGAGAAACAACTAGTGTTAAATAAATTAGCAATATAATTAAATTCCGGAAACTTATGTGATACGCATGGAAATATTATTCCAAAAGGTATATGTAATAACGCCCCCACAAAATTTTCCTGGTGCCCGATGCGAGGAGAAAACAAAATGGCCACCGCGCATGTCCAGTCCACCCCTGACTGTAGGCGGGGATGACGTCATTGGATATAGTGATGTGCCTTCAACCCTCTATCGATATAAACTACGTTCTTTCCTAAAATTAACTTACGCGAAAATTTGGTAAGGACTTTATTTATTAACCTTTTAATTTAGTCGATTAAAAGTACGTTATAATTAAATGTAATTAACTAAATGAGAAAAATGTCGAACGAAAACGATTAAATAAAACTTATAATCAACTGACCTAAAGAACATAAACACAGCAACTAGTTAATCTATATTAATATTATAAAAACGAAACATTTACATTTTTGTATATATCAAAATAATTCATTAACAAAAATATTTTACCGTTAGAAAGGGAAGTTATCAGTAACATAGGCTATATTTTTAATTATTTTATAATTTCACGTGAACGAAATCGCGGGCAATAGCTAGTCAGTCTATAAAGTAAACAATAGATAAGGCGGGCACGTACCTGTAAATAAAGAAAGACCCATTATGCCATTCCTCGTAACCTAAGGTTATCACTAAAAGTGAGAGAAGCTAGTCACTTGAAAAATATAAAGTAGACTTGAAAATTACTAATGAGAGTATATTTGAGGGAGCTACCCCTTTTCTTTTTTATAGAGGGGAATGCTCTATGCATACTCCTGGCCCTTGGGACGCGAAGTTATGTCGGATTCTCCCTGTAATGGGGCTTACCCAACAAACCACCTCTGGTTCCTGCTACGCATGATGGCGGGGCTATGGGTACTCTGTCAGCACTCCTCCGCGTCCACGTTTGCGCTAGCCAACTAAGCATCACCTCCTCTGGGAAAGGACTAGCCTCTCCGGAACTTCCCTGGTATAGACGCGCCGGAATTACCGATTATGCCCAATCTTCACCCAGCTCTGTCCTCATGAAATAGAAATAAAAAGGTAAATAGAAATCATCAACCTCATAAAAAGGTTCATCAGTCCCAACTTTTACTCCCACTATCACCAATAAAGTGACAGATGGAAACGTTATGAAATAAACAAGTTCCAACCGTCCCCTCGTCGCAAAAGGTGGGACGGATAAAACTTTATACTCATCTGTCTACACATGGGGACAAAATTCCTTTTTCATAAGTCGCAATAGCTAGTTGAGAATAAATAGCATACGAAGAATCTATCATTCTGAAGTTCTGAACCCATCAATTATAGCGCTGCGTCACGCACTATCGTAGTTCAATATTAGCGTCCAAACATCTCTTGTTATCGCCTTTGTTTACGCATTTGTTGCTAATTGAGCAATTATTCGTAACATTAACATGACATTAATCAAGGTAAACGCACTGGAACTAACTTTATCTGGTGGAAGTTATCGAATGTATTGTATATAACCGTGTCTTTTGCAGAAACTCTCCTACTGAAATATCGTTGTCAGTGTTTTATGAGACTAGTTGTTGTAAAAAAAGGTTACTCAGTGATAACATAGCTTTATAATGGTGCAAGAATTTTTGAAATCGGTCCAGTTTCTTTATAATATTAGTATAGATAATGAAAGAGATGGCAATATATGCTTCGATAGTCGATAGTAAAATTAACAAAAGCGTGTTTAATTAGTGTAAATAATGTATAATAATAAGAACGTGTGGAATATACGTAACTAAACAAATTTTAAATATAAAAGAGCTAATTTCTATAGTGACATGGCAACTCATAAAAGAGAAGACGCCACAGGAAAGCGTTGGTGATTTTTCGAGTCGTAAGTCCAAGTCCAAAACTCGCTTTGGGCTGCTCAAGCGCAATAAGATAACCGTTGTCTTTTTCCCCGGTTATTAAATCAGTGAAAAATGTATATGCTTTAGCCCTTTTTTCCACTAAGTGATAAAATTCATGCATAGGTATCCACAGAGTTATTTATAGATTTTATGTATAGTATATATGTTTTACGGAAATGTACAATTTTAGCGCAAGCACGTGTAATATTTATTGTTAATAAAATAGTTAATAGTCTTTTGACCTTATTTATTGATACATAAGTAACAGGAAATGGGTTTTTGGTAAATACACATGTAATATGTTGCATAGTATAGGTTCATACATTCATTTAAAAAACATACCCATATGTGTACACGCAACCGTAGATATCGCAATAATAAACACACTAGAACAAAGCAAACTAGAGAAATAACTGAAAATTTGCTGACTACAGTAAAACCTTCAAGGTCAACGATGACGTAAATAATAAATTAAATTAAAAATTTCGATGAACAGTCAAAATTAAAATTATTAAAAGGTAACACAAATTTGTAGCTTACAAATTACAATATAGAGGACATTACATACACAATAATATTTTATTAATCTGTTCTAGGTTTAAAAAATGAAAATCAGAACAAAGTGATTTTCTTTTTTTTATTTTAATGGTGTAAGACTCTTGTAAGAAAATATTTATTGTAATTAAAATTAATATTGCACTCTTTAATAATATATTTATTATGTAACATGTGACTGTCCAAGTTTCCAGTGAAATATAATTTTTATTACTACTAAACGTGCTTATGCATATATCAATCATGAATCCAATGTGACCTCGACCTAACAACTTATATTTGTCTAATATGCATTTTTAAACGTATTATAACAAATATTACGATCTACTATCGATAATTGGTAAAACAATAAACGAAAATAAGATCTTTTTTCTATATTCCTTTCAATTACCCTTAATTTGTTGAATGATTTACAATTTTTTTTGTAAAAATCAAAAAATGTCAAAAAAATACGAATTAAATTTTTGAATCAACACTTTTTGCGTACATGCATAATTGTTACATCTTTACATTAAAATTAAAAACGATTTTAAAAAGCTATAATTATTTATGATTGTTTTTATCGACAACCCTTAATATCGACTTCACATCGCTATTAGGGTGTCGCGTCACTAACTTCAGTGTACGACAGTTCGCGAAGCACGTTCGTCGCGAAACGGCGCGTTCCGTCGCGAAGTGATTGAAATTCGCTAATTTCATTTACCATTTGAAAAATAAAGTGCATTTACATCATCAATTCATCAAGCAGTTGCTATACTGTGGCATTTAAAGTACGTTATTTATTATCTACATTTTTTAATCATTGCGAGATTTTTTTGGATTTTTTTTTATTTTTTTAAATTATCCATTCATTTTTTGAAGGCATAATTGCGAATGTATCAAACATTTTAGTTATATATAAAAATATTAAACATCTGCATTTGCATTTCCATTTTTGTCGTAACATGTTCATAAAATAATTAAGTAATAGTTTATTATTAATTCATTTTCTTTAGAGTAGTTAATATTAGAGTAATTTACATATAAAGATTAGATAAGAGATGCAGAATGAGTACACACATGTCCTAAAGGTGGTTATTGATTGCGCACCGTGCAAGGGGTGAAGGGGGATGCGCAGGGAGGGGCACGGGAGGCATGAGGAAGGTCAGGACTCTATTCCTGAGCGGTTATATCACGTGATAAAGTCACGTGCACTGTTGTTTATTTATTAAAAAAATACTGGCCTAAGAAAATATATACCTTTGCCTTTAAAAAAATACTGGCATTACAGAATGTAGAACTTTGCCTTCAGAAAAATCGCTGGCATTAAATAACGTATACCTTTGCCTCTAAAAACGTATAACTTTGTCTATGAAAAAATCGGTGGCATTACAGAACGTATACTGTTGCCTCTTCAAACCATAGATGCGTGGCTTTAAATATTTTAAAAATAGAAAAAAATGTTGTGCATAATTTAATTAAACTATGTGTTGAAACGTGTTATTAACAGTCTATTTTTAACCGACTTCTATACACACTTGTTGGCCGAGTAATTTTCTTGTATACCTTGATTTTTAAAACCCTCATATTGCGAAAATATTTGAAACCAATTTCGTTGCGCACATTAAGGGCCTGTCCCACCATTGGCTGATAGAGGCTCAGATAGCTTAAAAGAGTCAGATAGAGCACCAAAATTCGATATTTCCATCACAAATTTCATCGTTGGATCTGACAAATTACAAAAATATTTTTTTTATACAAAAAAGGTGGCAAACGAGCAAGCGGCCATCTAAATCCGCCAAATTGGCGAACCGATCGCTGCCCATAGAAATCCACAATTACAAATGCGTTGCATACTCTAAATCGATGGAGGAGGAGACGCACATAAACAGGATATATTCCCTTCCTATGCAGACGCATAGGAGAGGAGGAGACGCGGAGACTCTCCACCATCAAATCCACTTTCCCATCCAATCCTTTCCTTAATTAATTGTGGGGCAGGCCCTAAGTGATGTAATTAAAAAGCCGATGGACGCATTTTAAGGCCAGGGATTTTTAAAATCTTGGTTAATCTAGATAAAGTTGCTATACCTAACCTCTACCTAAATATGCGAGAGTCCAAAGAACCACGATGTATTTTTCTGATAAGGGTTTCTAATTTTTCCCGGTTTGATTGTAATTTGAGAAAAAAAAAGTTTTGTAATTCCAAAAAAAAATTTTACGTAACACAAAAGCCCATTCTCATATTTCAAAAGTGTATTTCAGGTTTTTTAGGAAATGACGGCTTCATAATTAATAACTAACTGTAAACATTTGTTGGAATACTGGAAACTAAGGTTTCAATGGAGAATTTTCAGGAAAAATGTTAATGTTATCGACAATTAATTATGCAACTTGAGTCCTAAATACATTAAAATATGCACTGCCTACTTACATCTCATTCAAATGACACACACAAACTTTAAAAAAATTAAAATTGTGTTTACGTCACAATTTGTGCAAGTTGCTGGCACTGAGTACTATGCTGGGATGTGTCTCATGCCTAAGAAAAAACAAAATGCATGTAAAAAGTAATCAATATTAATCTATACTAATATTATAAACATGAAAGATTTGTATTTTTGTATTGAAATAACTAAAAAACTACTGGGCATATTTTAAAAAATCTTTTACCGTTAAACATGTAATTTGTTTTCTGTAGTTTCATTATTTTTTTTTACTTTAACGTGGACGTTAGTCGCAAGCAATGTCCGGTACAAAATATTTTAAAGCGAGTAAAATGTTTTGACAGTTTTATGTTGATTTTGTTTGATTTTTTTATTTTTAGTTTTCGTTTTTTTATGTCTATCAAAAACTTTTGGTGTTTTTTTAAATCAAAATTTGCATAAGTAACTCTAAATGTACTTCCGCCGTAATTGCGATAACATCTAAGAAAAATCGTTCTTATAATTTTCTTTTATAAAGATAATTAAAAGCATCTTTTATCTTGATTTGTAAAAAGGTTCTTTTAAACTTTTAAATTTATATCGTTTTATAATAATTATATGTTAATGTGTGAACTGCTTTTCATTATTTTTGGTCAATACATGACGTCATATAATATCTTGAGATTTTTTTACTACAGGAATGAACGATTAAATTCAGATTTATTATATTTTACATAAACTTTTAAATTTATTTACTTAACAAAATTTAAATTAAGAAGAACGAATACAACACCATCATCCCCCTTGCCCTACTCCCGTAGGGTTGGCACAATAGGTTTTTTTCCTCCAAATAACTCTATCATACGTCAACTGTTATCACTCCCTTTTTGATCATGTCACCTTTCACGCAATCCATCCATGCAAATGCATAAATACACAGGGTTCCTGAAAACAATAAACAAACCAACTACTAACATTTTACGCTAAAACTAAAAACAATTGCAACTGAATCGCAAAATCGTTGTAAAACACTTTTTCTCACAACTGTACATTAGCTACCTCTACCATAGAACATCAATACCTTTTTGACCGACTTCCCAAAAGAAGGAGGTATTCAATTCGACGATATATTTTTTTTTATTTTTTTTT